TTTGTATTATAATCGATTTATTTTAAAGTATAAAAAGTATGTTACTTAGTTCAAATGAAGCCTTTCATATAGTTCTAATATGTTTTCTAAACAAATTTAACTATACCCAACTTACTATATGGCAACTTAACCTCACAAAATGCCACCTAACCTCACATTCTTATAACATAATGAATATCCTAGCTTTAAGTTATAGCTACAAAGGCACACAACATGTTCCTAACTTTTCATGTTATTCTAAAGATACAATATTCATGTAAACACGTGTATGACAATCTACCCAAAGTTTATACAATTTAACCTCACTTTCTTACAGGTTGTTCTATAAAATATGTTATTGTTTAGCTTCACTTTATCAGGCATACACTATGCAAGCATATATATTTTATGCTTACAGCACACATATAGACCTAACCATATTTTATGCAATCTAACCTCACTTTTAGAGAATTTTTCTATAACACATCCCACCTTTAGACTTTATATACCCTCCATTATTAATGATATTTTAAGCTTAAGCCATAAATATGACAGAATTATCCTAACCCAACCCTGCCTTATGCAATCTAACCTCACTTTTACACAGTTTCTAATACACACACATACTTAGTATCTAGCTTTATGAATGTAGAACACTTCAAGCGCCAATTTAGATTAACCAGATTGAAAAATATGAATTCAATTTATGGCCATAAAATGTTTAACTTAATTACCGAATCGGATTCTTAATGCCCAGAGAATTGGCAACACTTAATGGGCTATTTGGCTGATATTGGTATTGGTATAGGTATTGGTATAACTGGTTTAAGCAATCTCTATGCGCAGTCGCCTGTCCGCTTATCACAAACGCTTCGTGTATATCACATTCAATTTGTGCTCAATCGATCCATATTCATCAAACTTATCTCTATTCGCATTGAACACCGAAATAAACTTGAAGCTGGCTTCAAAATTGATATAGAGCTGCTTCAAAATGACAGTTCAAACAGCTGTTTAGTGTTGCATGCCCCACATTTCTGCGAAACTAATTGGGGAAAAACGAGAGAGAAAACATGAAAGAGCGCACCAGTGGGGAGTGGCTGACGACGAGATGCCCTGTACATAAATAAAAGCATACGTAAACACCTAACACTCAAACATTCATAGGCAGGCACAACAGTTCTGTACTTGCCCTACCTATAACTGTGCCACTATGAATATGCGTCCTCTAAGAACTGGGGTTCTAGTTGTACGATTATTATGAAATTTTCAAGACATATTTAAGACATACAAATGTGTGTGTATAATAAAGTTTAAGAACTATATTATAATATTTAATTATATAATAGAGTTATATAATACAATAGGGTTACCTATCCATAGCGCGATATATTTTAGGTTGTCTTTTCATGCTCTATATACAAAATATTATGACTCTAACTCTAATGGTCTACAATTTATGCTAAAAAAAATCCAAGTCAAAATATCGATATTTATCGATATTAAGAAATTAAAAAGACATATTACAAAGAAATGATAAAGTTAAGCTCCGTAGAGTAAGTAAGTATATATATATAAAATTTCAGAGCTCTAGCTTTTGAAGTTTACGAGTTACGATGGACGAGTAAACTGTCATGGTTTGACCAAGTTTAGCTTGTCATTCTGCTTAGGCATATGTATACATTATGTTACCCGCCTCTTACATTACATTTCAAGCATACCTCACATACGTTGCTTACACATTTTCACTGATTTCCAGGGTAACTAAAACTGACTTAACAGGAAGCATTTGCATTCGCAATTTGGGATTCGCGCACTGAAAATGAAAGTTATAATCCGAACAGTAGCGAACCATATGATTGTTTACGCTCTCCCTCTCGCCATTTCTCCCTGTCTCCTTCTCACTCTGGCTGTATGGGGCACGCATTTGACTTCGCTGGCATATTTATCACACAAATAACTATTATGTAATTTTTTTTTCCAGCTAAGTCAAAGCGGGGCAATTTGTGTGGCAGTCAGGCAGGCCGGGCCAGGCAGGCGCGCTCATAACATCCACATGCAACATGTTGCAAATGCTTCAATTGCAGCTGGGCGCTGGCTTGCGTTGCCCTCTAGCTGAAATATATACCCAATTGGCCTACATATACATAGGTGCCAATACACATACATACATAACACAGTCTAGCGATCAGAGTGCAGTCGTAACAGCAGCATTTACAGCCTACAACGGAGCAATCGATTTTTAACTTTAGCTTTTATTAGCCACACAACAGGCAGCAATCAGTAGCAGCATTTAGCTGGTCATATGCGACTTAACAGTGGTAATAGCAGACCTAACAGTAGCAGTAACAGAGCCAATAACAGGCATAACAGCACACACAGAATTAACAGCAGCTCCTTCATCCATGCAACTCAATCATCTGCTCAGTAAGTTCTGTTTACGAGCCCAATTGAGCCTTAAGTATAAAAAAAATGAGTAGACCTGCTAACAGCTGTTTAACATATGTTAACCAGCTTTTAACAGCTAATTTAACATGAAGCATATGTTAAGTTAAAAGCAGTATAAACCGAATCTTTTGGGCATTTAACAGTGCTATAAACACAGTTTTAACCGATTACTGTAAATCAATAAGCTCTTAAGATAGAGATTAATTGAACAGATTCAATTGACAGAATTCCACTTAACAGTTTCAGTTAATATGCACAGCTAACAGTTTCATTTAACAGTCAACTCTCTCATTTAACAGTGTCAGTTAAAAGTTTTAACTAACTCCTATCAATAACTATTAAAAGAGTATTAACAGATCAGCTCTGCTTCGCTTAGCATTAACATGAACAGCTTCTGTTAACAGCTAACTTAACATAGTGCATCTGCGCAATCAGCTGTTATATGAATCTCGACTTTTTTGTGGCATCGACCCACAAATCGATCGACTAAGGCTTGTTAAATCAATTGCGTGTGTTGCATTTGCTGATTAGCTAAGAAAAGGCGGAGCAAAACGAGGAAAAAGAGGGCTCGAAATTTGGTTAAGTAATTGCCCGAAAATTGGTAATAAAAAAATACCAAAAAAAATGCGTTTTATTGCAAATTTGTTGTTGGTGTTGCTTATGTTAAGCAGTCGCGCGTACGTGAGTCGTGATTGTGATCGGATGTGCCGCCTCCACGACAATTGTGACCCATTTAATGCGTTTAATTGACGCCGCTAACAGCAGCAGCAACAATTGTCACAGCAACAACAACAGTTGCAGCAAAAGCAAACAGCGACAGAGCCAAAGGCAGAGCAATCTCAGCTGTTGCAGCAACAGCAACTGCAGCAGCAGCAAAAGCAACTGCAGCAGCAACGCCAACAGCAACTGCAACTACAACTGCAGCAACATCCAGTGCTGCAGCAGCAACAGCAGCAGCAGCGGCAGCAACAGCACCAGCAACGCCAACAGGAACTGCAACTGAAGCAGCAACAGCAGCAACGGCAATTGCAGTATCAGCAGCAGCATCAGCAACCTCAACAGTAATAACAGCAGCAGCAACAGGAACAACAATTTTATAATAGTCGACGTAGCAGCAACCACAACATCAACAGCATTAACAGCAGCATCAGCAACAACTGTCGCAGTAACAGCAACAACTCAAAAGTAACAGTTGCTTTTATGTGCAGCTTGCATGTCAAGGTCGTCGTCTGCAAAGATGGGCCTGATCTGCCAGGGATAAGGCGGGACAATTTTCGGCAGTTGCTGTTGCTGCCCTGACATTCACTTTTTTATGTTTTTCGACTGCTCTTTGGCTCTTGGGCAATACGTGCCAATATAGATATATATATGTATTTGGGCAATCACACACACATGCTTTATGTGCCAGTTGATCATTCAAATGGAATAATTTCAGAAGCCGATTGCAAACAATAAATCGCATTGTGACATCTATGCCATTAAGACAATGTGAGAATGCTGTCAATGGCTGTCAACGACTGTCCAATGCGCGCTCAGAGCTTAATCGATATCTAGCTGGCTGTAGACATGTGTATAGATAGATGGAATGATATATGGATCAAGATTGATCTATTCATAGATGAAGACAGAGAAACAGATAGATTTTTAGATATATGGCATAAAGTCACATGATCTTAAAGAAACATATTTTATATAGCTAACTGCTGGCCTACATCCATAAACTGGAAATTCAAGCCTCAATTATACAATATTTAATTCCAGCAACTTCCAGTTCCTCAACTTTTCCACCAAATACTGCCCAACCAATATACACTTCTTTTGCCGCTCACACTCTCTAACCCTCTCGCTCTCTCACTCTCACTCTCCCTCTCTCTCTCTCTCTCTCTAATGTTGTTTATTGTCCAAAACACAGACAAAAACACTTAAAATCTGCACACAAATTTGCCCTGTCAAAGTTCGATTGTACATGTCAAGCTAGAGACAACAACAACAGCAACATCTTCATTATTTTAAATGTGATTTCATTTTGGCAGTAGCAGCAGCAGCAACTGATGCGTGCTTTTGCTGCAGCAAACAGTATATAGCAAACAGTTGCCCCAAAGTCTTGTCGTTGTTGTTGTTGTCTAGTGGGCAGACCTCTTGGTTAAGCAACTCATAAAGCACTTAATAGTGTATGTATGCTATTCCTGATGTTGCTGTTGTAGAGGCTCCTGCTGTTGTTGTTTTAGTAGCTTTTGCTGCTGCGACAATTGTTGCTGTTGTAATAACTGTTGTGATATTTGTTATAGTTGCTATTGCAGCTATTGCTGCTCTTGTTGTTGCTCTTGCTGTTGCTGTTGCTGCTGGCGCTGACTGTTACTGTAGCCACGACTGCTGCTGCTGTTGCTGTTGCTGTTGCTGCTGTGCGTCACGTATGTTTTACATTGATTGTTGTAGCTGTTGCTGTCGTCGCTGTTGTCGCCGCTGCGACTCGTGCTGCTGCTGCTGTCGTCGCTGCGACGTCCGCTGTTAGCGCCTGCAATTGTGTATAAAACGGATGAGCAATTGTCCATTGGTTATCAGTCATTGGCAGACATTGGCAAACGCAGCGGCCACAAACCACACAACAAGAGTCGAGTTCGCAAAACTAAGCCAACAACAACAAATACCTAACTATGAACGCTCTTAAAATCTTCGTAAGTGTGCCCAAACTTCAGAGAGAGTTCATAGCCAAATAAACTTAATGTAAACAAGGATTCGCGAGTGAAAAGAAAATATTATAAAACTTATATAATCGTGCAGCGCAGTGCAGGAATAAAAGACATTCCAAAAGTTATACAACAAAAAGACTCCTTTCAGACTGAGTTTAAGTCTCTTAGCTAACCAATAGGGTATTGACTTAAATTCAACAATTTTGTTAACAAAAAATTTTAACCTTAGTTAAAATGTTGCTAACAAAAAAAATTTATAAAAAAATTTCCTTAAAATTCTTAATGAAAATATAAACAAAAATCGAAAATACACTACAAAATTTAAATAAAAAAAGGAAAAATATAAATTTTTAAGCTAACAAAAATATATAAGAAATTTTCTTAAAATTCGTTATTAAAATGAAAACAAATAATTCAATAAACAAAAATATATAAAATATAAAATTTTTAGTTAAGAAAAATCTTAAAAAAATTTCTTAAAATTCCTTTTGAAATCAAAATTTAAAAAAAAAAAAAACAATATTTTAAAGAAAAAAGAAGTTTCAAAATTTCTTTAAAAACTTATTAATAACTGTTGACTAATTTTAATTTTTGAAAGTTAAATTAAAATCAAATTCAACTAGCATAAAACTTACTTTAACGTAAAATTTCAAACTAAAATCAAATCGAGCTTAATCTATATATGTTTCTTTATATAATGGGCGAAAGAGAAATGAATTACATATATCTATATATAATGTATTGATCTCCCTTTATTTAAATGCTTTAATCCATCAACAAATTTTTTTTAAGCCAGAAACGTTTTGCCCTTCACTTAACAAAAATTGCAGCAATTACTTTATTTTTTTTTTGGTCGAATTTTTTTTTTAAGTTCATTTATTGGTTTGGCCTTAATTGAAAATTTGGCCAACCAAAAAAATTATTTGCCAATTTAAACTTGAGCAATAAATAAATATTATTGTATTGCCTAACATTCGGGCTAAACGAAACCCTAAAAACACATTTATGATTTATACTTAGAGAGTTACAGGCATTGGCTAAAGTCAACAAAGGTTTTTACGAAGGTTATCTTAGCTACTAAATACACTTATCTTTTAACGGGTTATCAGAAAATGAATAATTTGTATATGTCTTTAAATCTAATTCGTTAGTAGGTCAATTCTTGACTGAATTTTATTTATCCACATTATAAGTTGGTGCTTATTGCAACGAAAAAGTCCATTAAACAAATTTGTTTAAATATAGAAAATCTTAATTGGAAAATTATTAAGATTTTTTATAATTAAAAAAATGTTTTAATGGATATTTTTGTTGAATTAATTAAAAAAATAAATATAAAATATCATTCTATATATATAAATCAAAATATAATTTTTTTTAAATTTTCAAAGCCTGGCAATATATTTAATAATATATTATTATAATTTTAATGCTTTTAAAATATTTCCATTGTTGAAAATGTTTAGCATTTAGAAAATCGTACAAGAAAAATATATCAAAATTCTTACTCAGAAAATTTGATAAGTCTGTTAAGCTATGTTTATGTATAAAAATGTATCTGATATAGAAATTATCTCTTACAACTCGTGTTTGCAGATCTTTGTTGCGCTCTTCGCTGTGGCCTACTGCGCGCCCAGTCCCGGTTTCTTTGGCAAACAGTAAGTGAACCATAAAACATGCAGCCATAAGCCACTTAACATAATATATAACTTATGTGCACCGTTTACCATTAAGCCATATCCCATCTACTATCTACCATCTATCAACTGTTAAAGCGTCATCTGAAAACGTTTTTCCGTGTTGTTGTGCAATTGAAGTTTGATTTTTGTTTTCTTATGGCTCTCTTGTATGGCTTTTTAAATGCTATGAATTATGAATGTAATTGAATCCAAATGAAGCAATCAATATAAATAGAGCTAAGCCAACACTCTGAGCCCTATATATATATATATATAGTGAGATACTTTTGCTGTTATTGTAATCGAGTTCAATTGGCAGACAGTGAACCTGGGCGCAACGCTGAGGAATTTTCGAGGCGACGCTTGGCATTTGCTCGGTTGCGAATTATAATGCGCACATAATTGCATTGAATCAATTAAAAATTCCGAGCATTGATCGGTGCTGCGACTGCTGCGAACTCTCTCGGAACTCCGCGTCCGAGCCAAGTTCAAGCAACTTGCCAACAAGCGGGCCGTTCAAACGAGTCGAGACGACTGCCAGCTATTAACTGATTAGCTAATAACATTGAATGCCAATTGGACAATGCACCAACCGCTCTCCCCGCCTTCACCTCGTCTCGATGCATCAAGCATATCATTAGCTTAGGCTCGACATTTACATTTTCACTTTTACTCACTTTCCAATTGGATTTGCTAAACAATTCTTACTTCACATTAAACCGAATACATATTATATTTAAGCGTATCATTAATAGACTTGTATTCTTGATGAAATTGGGCTTTTCATGCATTATTATACTTATCCTTATACTTGTTCCTATTATTAAACATTATCCTATACAATTACAAACAGCAGCAATTATATTGTCTTATCGTTATCCCAATAATTTCCATGCTCCCCTGTTGTTTAGGCGTATTATAACTTTTATCCCCGGTCCAATTAGATTTTTTAAACAATTCTTCGCTCTTTTAAATTAAACTATGCAGTAATGTTTCCCTTCTAAGCATGTTAAAATACATATGAGCGTTTCACACGTTATCCGCCTTTATCCGTTATCAATTATAATTATATTTATCATGCATAGATAAGCTTCATCTTTATCCCAATGGGTGAATATTATACGCTAACTAGGTTTTAGCGTTTTCAGTTTTATCCGCTACTAAATTATCCAGTATGACACTAACATTTTCACTTTTATCCATTTCCCAATTGGAATTCCCAAACACTTCCCACTTTAACTAAACTCTCACCTACATTAGTTCTCTCCAGTTTCTACCTAAACCACAAACACTTTTAGCTTTATCCGCATATTATCCAATTTCTAATTTTATTTATTTTTTCATAACTATTCTTACCTTATTCCAATTAAAATCCGCAAATCAGTGAACATCATACAATCCATGTGCCCTACAAGGTGCACACGGTGCATCATCATCATGTCCAGAAGATCGCTGTGCCTGTGGTGAAGCATGTGCCCGTCTACAAGGAGGTGCATGTGCCGGTCTATAAGGAGGTGCCCGTGCATCATGTGCATCACGAAGAGATTGTGCCCGTCCATGTGCATGAAGATCATCACGACTACCATCACGACTTCCATAAGGGCTGGTCATCCTCCCTCTCACATGGCTGGTAGAGCCAGAAAGACAGAGAGAGGCTTTGTAAATATCTGTACAATTTAGTGAAAAGAAAAACGCATTGTAAATAAAAGTGAGATTTTTTCGATTGTAAACTGGAATAGCTGTTGTTGTTGTTTTTTGTTATTTTTTTGGGTTATGTAAGTGTGCTCGACTCTAGTTGGTTTTAATTTGCAGTTGCACTTGACCTTGGTCAGTTGGCTGGTCGCTTGATGTGGCCGCCGGCCGCCGTCGCCGTCGCCGCCGTTTTGCAAGAACGACTTTCACAAAATCCAACTCGGGGTCAACCAGCAACAACAACAGTTACCCAAGCTACTGCCCAAGCAATCAAGCTGTGTGCTGATCACCTGTCCAATTCCTTGTTCCAAGCGCGGAACTGGAATCGTTCGCTCCATGTGCTGGGCGGCATGTGGGCGTGGGCGTGGCACATTCTTAATAAATGACAACGTTTTTTTCGGTTAACGTTTTTATGACAAAGCTAAATTAACTAAATTTTCTTTGACTTTTGGCTGCAACTGGGATTCGAGCCAAGGACTAATTTCCATTTGCATTTGCCCAAGGCTTTGAGCATGTGAAACCTAATTGATCTATTATGTATACAGATCTATACAGAAGAATGTATATATCTTTAAGATCGTAAATATTTACAACGACTCTGGTAAAAACTTCATGCTCATGTTCACACACATAAAAAGGGACATAAAAAGCTGTTAAAACGACATATTAAAACTATTTTATCTGGCATTTATCTTGAGCTTCAATTACATCAGCCTCCGCACTGTCTGTGCTGAAGTTTAATGGTGATCTATTGCGCTAAGAGGCGAACAGTCAACTGGGCGGGGCGTATGACAAAGATTGGATTCAACTTTTCAAACGACTATTTACTTGAACTTAATGATACCAACTAAAGACCGAGACATAAATCAAATTGGAATAGAGCAAACTGACTGCGATTGTGTGCACTCTCTATTCCAATTAGATGGCAATTTAAAATAAGTCAGAAGAACTTTTATAGCATTTATAGAAATTATATAGCTTCACTATTAAATTGTGTTAAATTGTAATAAAAGATTTATCTGTTTCTTTTCTTCGACATACCAAAAATCCAATTACATAATGCTAAACACTGCTATAAATAGTAATTTATAAGACTATATATAAAAAATAACTCAAGATCAATGAACTAACGTTGTGAATCATATAAGAATAGAGAATTGAACAATTGAGCAAAAATGTGGAAAAAACTTTTAAAAGTTTTATTGTGTAATATGCCCAACAATCCAATTGGATTTCGCTTGATGAGGCAATTGATATGCTTTTATATATCTATATATAGTATATATATAACAGACCTTTGAACTAAATACTTTGTAGTAATTCCATTTGGCATAAGCAATAAAGAATTTAGACTTAAATCAAAAATCTTTTATAGGCTTTATATAAATTAAATCCAATTAGATATTATTAAACAATGCAGCTGAAAGCTATTTTTGTCTGTAAATCTATATATAGATATTTATATTTATTAAAAATTTAATTCAAGCAGACACTAGATACACATATCAAGCTAAAATTTAGAGAACTAGTAAAAGTTCTTTTCTTCATATCCAATTAGACCTTACTCAATGCTGATATGGAGAGTTAAGTTAAAGTAAATTGTTAAAAGTTCCCAAAATAAAATTCATCAACTTTAGTTTTTATATGACCAACATGTTTTTTCTTTCTGTTTATTATTTGACGCCAACAAGAACAAGAATTTCAAAAGTTGAGAACTAGAAGGAAGCTAAATGAGGAAAGGTTCGCGCAGAGATTGAGAAGGGGTATGTAGAGACGGAAGAGATGCTGCCATTAGTGGCAGTAGGGGAAGTTGGGGCACTGCTGTGGGGAGACACCAGCGGGATAGAGACGCTCCGACCAGCCGGGCAGTGGTGGCGCGGCAACAGGCGTTGCGGCATGGCCGGCATTCACATCGCAGTAGGGATAATTGGGGCAGGTTTGTGGATTGATGCCAGCTGGATATTTGTCTCCACCACCGGGCGCTGGTGCGGGTGCAGCGTTCCAGCTGGGCTGTGGCTGCCACTGAGGTTGCTGCGGTTGCTGCCACTGCGGCTGCGGCTGCCATTGTGGCTGGGGCTGCTGCCACTGGGGCTGTGGCTGCCACTGGGGTTGCGGCTGCTGCCACTGCGATTGCGGATTGTGCAGGCGTGCATTATCACAGAGCGGGAAGTTGGGGCAGTCCTGTGGATTGACACCAGCCGGATACTGGGCAGCTTGCTGATGCTGTGGCTTGGCCAAAGCCACAACCAGACAGGAGACGAAGAGCTGCAAAGGAGCATCAATGTAGCTGTAAAACGGCCAAGCAGCTGCGGCAATCTTTAGCTTACCAGCTTGAAGAACATGTTGATCGTAATCCTTGTTGCCAATTGGACTATAAAGTTGAATAATATTAAACTTCCAATTGGAATTGTGGTCAGCGCTGCACTGTGGGACAAACACGGCCGTCAACTAGCTTTTATAGGCCCGAACGGCAGAGCAAAGTCTTGGCTCTCTCGTATGCCGGCTAGAATCGAGACTCGGGGCTCGGTTTCACTTTCATTGGCTAAGATTTGGTGTGGTTGCAACTATTGTTGTTGTTGTTGCTGCTGATGTTGTTGTTGTTGTTGACTGATCTCGCGCATATTTTGCTTGATTGGCCACACAGATTATTATTAGAGTCTTTGTTGAGCGAGCGAACAAATAAATCGACAGACACAAACACATATGCATATGTATATATATATATACAGCCGATATATATGTTTGTATCAAGTTACAGCCGTCATTAGCAATAGCAATGAACTAAGCCCCGATCGCATTCTAAACATTGTCTCTTATGGCCTGCTCCACTTGGCGCGTTGGCGTTTTTCTTTTTATTTTTGGCCAAGCTTCTCAACCCTTGCCACACATGCCACATGCCACACGTTCGCTGCTCATGGAATCTGTTCGTGAATCACTTTATTTGTGCCGCAGGTTTTTCCTAGTCGTGCCGCCAAGCAAACACCTTCGCCAACGCGCTAAGCTCCTGCTACATATATATATATTGATATATATATCAATAATATATATATACATATATATTTGTCCACACACTCGCCCGGAAGGCGCTTGTAAACGGGTTTTCGGTGCAGCGAACTTGCACTAGTTTCAATGCTTTGCTTGACTTTACCACATAGAATCGCAGCGGACTCTCAGATTCTAGGCTAGGGCTGCGCTGTACCATTTTTTTTTTACTTTTTCAATATTTTTGATTTAACTTTATCTGAAATTTGTTCAAATATTTCACTTAGCTTCAAGTGTTTTTAGATTTACCCAAAAAATAGTTGAAAATAACTGCAAAAAGCTTTTAAATTCTAATCAGAAAATGTTATAAGATATTAGGCAGGAGAATACTGTATATACATACTTTTATACATATATGGATATGTTTTGGAAAAACCACGAAAACAGCTAACTAAGAAAAAAAATTGTTCATTAAAATAGTAGTTAACTAACTTCTTATAAGAGTAAATATATTTATATAAAAATTAATATAATATTTCCAAAAGTAAATTCTTTTTAAATCTGATAGAAATAATTATAATTATAAAAAATTTTTAGAAATATTTTTAATTTATATGAAATGTATTCACGTCAATTTTATTTTTAATATTTGACCTACACTTTTTATTTATATTTTTATAATTTATATAAATTTTCAAAAAAAAAGCTAGCTAGATCTATTTAGCTATTTCTTATCAGTATTTTTGAATTGCCCAACCCTAGTTAAAGCAGGTTTTTGGTCCGCTAATGCAAATGTTGTTGCACTGCAATTGTCACCTCTAAAAAAACGCGTTGTCCAAGCTGTGGGCCATACGCAATGTGCTTGATGCCAATGCCAAACGAGAAACGTAACGCACGCACCACGACTTCCTGGCTGAGCGGGAGAGAGATAGAGAGTGGACGTCGGAGTTTACTGGAGGGCAGCACCCAAGAGTGAGGGAGAAAGACAACGTAAGAGTTCAGTGTTGTGCAGCACTCAATAACGAGGCGAAAAAATGCGCTGTCACACAAATTATGAGCTAATAAGATACACACACGCAAACACATGCATGAAGCATGCAACAGTTTGTTGTTGAATGTGTCCAATTGTTGGCAACGTTTGTAACAGATTTAGTTTAATTCTTATAATTTGTGTTTGCAACTGCCGCCAGCCAGCCAGTCAGCTTGATAGCCAGCCATTGGCTAGGAATGTGCGCGGGCGCGGCTGCTCCACTTGTAGGTGGTTATTGCTGGTGGTGGAGCAAGCTGTTCTCGTTAGCCTTGATCAATGGCCCGGAAAAATAAAAGCCAGCGAAATTGAAATTGTTGACCGTTCGCATAATGCACTCACATATGCACACATACACATGACTGGGCTGCTCTGCGTGTGTGTGTGTGTTTGTTCTTGCTTTTGATAACTTAACTATCGTGCTTGCCTTTTTTGTCACACTGGTATTGTATAGCCTGTCGCCTGTCAGATATACGTGTGTTAGTGTCTCAACTATCGTGTTCGCCTTTTTTGTCACACTGGGAGTTATTATAGACATTAGCTGTCGCCTGCCTTTGGTTTTTTTTTGTTTTTTTAATTATCAATTTCCTTTAGCACTTAACGGGGCGTTTGCATAAAGGTGTGGCGTTTAAAAGAAAGCGAATTTGCATACAATTTGCATACTTAAGTAATTTTGTTTTTTTTTTCGTTGTATTCAATTTACAATTTTGTATTTCAAGTAATTCTTGTTTGCAGATTAAACTAGTGAGGGGGACTGACTAAAGTGAACAAAGATTCTAAGTTAGATTTGCTTACCAACAATGTGTGTTATTAGTAATTAAATATTAACTCTAAGCAATGTGTTTATATATATATAAAAGTTGCATTTATTTGAAGCTAACGCTTTGCGAAGCCTAAACCTGTTCATGGCGCACTCTTGAGAGTTGAAAATTTTAATTCGCTTTTGCTTCAGTCTCGCTGGCCGCACTTTCAGTCTCCTCCGTTTTTGTAGCAGTCGCTTCTGTGGGCTCAGCATCAGTTTCATCCACTTCCATATCCACTTCGGCATCGGTATCAGTCGTTCGCAATTCGTCATGCAGCGCACGACGCACTAAATGCTTATTATCTTCTACAAAGCAAATCAAAGTTATTAGGTGATAACAGACGTATGTAATGGTATGTGTATTATTCACCAGATTCCTCGTCTTCATCGTCTGATGAATCACTATCGGAGCTAGCACTGTTAAGTAGAGCTGCCGTTTCCGGTTGCGTTGCATTTAGCGAGAGACGTGGTGCCACTGGACGCTCCTTGCGTGCCGGATTAAGCACCCCGCAAAACGCACAATGAAATGTTGTATACTCATATTCCTCCAGCGGCAGCATGCCTAGAAGAAAATACATGGATTTACATATATATATATATATATATATATATATGTATATAGATAAGGTAGCATTACCATTATGTCTATGACACTCTTTGCATATCATGCCAAAGCGATTCTGTGGACTATCGCCCACAATGAAATCCACAATGCGATCCAATGCGCTGCGTGAACTGTCATCAACGACGGGAAATGGCGTGCGCCTGCGCAGCAACTGCGCACTGCGCACCTGCGACGATGGTGTATTCAGTTGCAATTGCGGTGCCATAACACTTGTATTTATATTATTATTATTCATATTTCGATAGACACCAGTATAAGGTGTTAACATGCTGCGCTGCTGTTGTTGCTGTGCTGCTGCCACTGCAGCTCCGGCTGGTTGCGGTGTACGCTGCAGCGAGGAGCTGATGGAGCGATTTAAGGAGTTTATACTTTGGTTGCTACGCGCTGCGCTAGAGAGCAGGCCGCTGATGCGGCTTTGTTGCTTATCACCAAAGCGTTCAAGCAATTGCACGGCCACCTAACCGAAAATATGTATGTGTAGATATCGATTATCATAATTGATAACTATCGTAACAATTGTCCATTCCAGCGTTACCTTGTATGTCTCATTGTCCATGACCTGCTCTAATATCTTGGTCTTCTTCTGCTTAAGCTGCGCCAGCTTATCGCCATTTTTGTTGAGCTTTCGCTGAAAATACCACGTAAACATTTGACGAAGAAAGACGATGCTGAAATATAATTACAAAGTGAAAAATAATGAGCAACTGGTTGTAATGAGATCATCGAACATCTGGCTTGTTCTGATTGAATTACTCACAGTACTGGGAACAATAGCAGCGGCACCAAATACATGATGCGCTCTTGCATTGTTGGCGGGAAATAGAAGAAATACCATAGAGCAAAGCCCACGATATATGCGCCAATTGTGAAGCCAACAAAATTGCTTACGAAACGCCTTTTACGCTCCTGCGTATTGATCACATATTTCTCTAGATCTTGTATCTGCAACTGCAGACCTTCCAGAACAGCAGTTGTAGATTTTTCCTTCTATAATTAGAAATGCGTACGTATGTAAATCTGTTTGGCATATACATATATGTATAGGTCGGCACTTTGGCGTCATTCGCCTATTGGCATTACGAATTAGAAATTGGCGAATTAGTCTCACTTACCCGAAATTTCGATAGAACAAAACCCATTCTTCTTATTTTATTATAAGTATAACTTGTACTAATATTATGACGCCTACTTAAATTTAAAAAAAGGTAAATATTAACTATTTTCGTGCCGTGACCCTGCCGCTAGCTGGGCTTGTTGATACTCTGTCGATACATATATATATCGATAGATTTGACAAGTTTTTGACCAAACTGATTTATATCGGGTATCGATACTTATTAAGCGATAACTTGTTTTTATTAATACTTTTATAAATTTTCCAATTAGTAGGCTTTTTCAAAACCATTTTGTCCATTTGCCGACCTAAATCTTGAAAATATGCGACTATAAAATATCTATCGATTAGTGCTTGTAGCCCTGAGTGCAGCCCAACAGCTGAGCTGCAGTTGCGCATTTTATAAAAGTTCAACAATTTATTGTACGCCATCAAGTCGCATATATTTGTTTATTTATGATAACCCACAATATTACTTGTATACAACTCATATTTACTGCCAGTTAGAACTGCAACTGAGACTGAAAACAAAGAAATCTCACTCACTCGTTGGTTTGTGTGTGGGAGTTGTTGCGGAACAGAAAGATAGCATAAAAAGACGTTGCTAAAAAATAAACAGCTGCTGCATTTAAAGGGGAAATTTAACAAATCAACATGTCTAAAGTAATTTCTCAAGAGACCTTCGACGATGTTGTCCAGGAAAATGTTGTTGATTTCTCTATGACTCCCTCCGAGGCCAAGGAGGAGACAATAAAGCAATTTGAAGCACAAGTGGGTAAATTGTATGCGTCATCATTCAATTAGATTGTCTTTATCTTGTTGGCTTTGTTTTAGGGCATTAACCTGGTGAACATCATAAAAGATTTGGCCATAAATCCTGAAACGGGTAAGCCAGTTATTAATGAAACAGTGGCCAAAATTCAAAAACACATCAGCGAAAAAAGTGAAGATAAAGCACAATTAACGGAACTTCTCGCCATCTTGGATCTGGAATGTCAAAAATCGCTCGCACACCGCGTGCTAGCAGGAAAAAATGGCGCGCACGATGCACTTATTGGATTGCTGGAACAAACGCTGGCCGTTGAGACATTGGAAATAGAATTGCTGTGCAAATGCTTGCAAGCTGTAAATAGTTTAACGCACAAGCAACCTGATTTATATGATCCCAAGGCGATGGCTGTTGTTCTTCAATTGCTTGCGCTGGAAGATCAGTTGGAAGTAGCATGTCTGACACTGCAATGGATGCAAAAAGCTTGTATTATGCATGAAATGAATCGACAGAGTATAATGGCTAGCAATGCCATAAAGGTTATGAAACCGCTGCTGGTTAAGGATAATCCTCGACTAATAAAGGAGCTGACTGCAGTTTTGAGATTCCTCGTATTGGACGATGATATACGTGTGGAGTTTGGCTGTGCGCATGAGCATGCACGACAGATAGCGAACGAAGTGTTGCTCCAGCTGGTAGAGCTGCTGCCAGCCTATGAGGATGTTAATGTCCTGGCGGACTTGTTGCTCACACTTGGCACATTGGTTGTGCGGCAGGAGTTGTGCACGGTCATAGACGATGCTGGCGGCCTTAAGATTATCTTTGGTATAATGGAAAATAATCTAAATGAGGAGCGTCTAAATCGCGAGGCATTAAAACTCTTACGTGCCCTTGCTGGCCATGATGCTGTAAAGGCGCACATTGTACAACAGGGCGTGGCTCCAATCATTAAACAACTACTCGAAACACATCAAACAAATGAGAATATCATCTCCGCTGCTTTAGCTTGCATAACCACGCTTACGCTGCGTGTCAAGGAGCACAGCATTGCCTTCTTTGAAACGGGCATTGCTGAGATAATTGTCGAGGCATTGCGTCTGCATCCCAAGCATAAGATTCTCCAACGCAACGGCGCATGGGCCATACGCAATATGGTTTCACGTTCACGCGATCAGTGCGAAACTTGGTTATCATTTGGCGTGGAGGATTTACTCAATGCTGCCATGGCTGAGCATCCTACGGTGGCGCAAGATATCAAGGCTGCGCTGCGAGATCTTGGCTGCAATGTAGAATTGCGCGAAGAGTGGACCGGTAAAGCAGAAAAGAAAATTGCCGCATAGCTGAAAAAACACACATGGACAATATATATTTGCTACTTTTATATATTTCATTGCTAACTTATAATTCATTCAACGCACACTTATACACACTCACACACACATTACCTTATAATGAAACCGCACAATAATCGGAGCTTACAAAAGATTCATCTATAAATTAATGCTATTTGAAAATGATGCAGTCTTCTGGCTATTTTAACTATTTGGTTAACTTAAAGTTCCGCAGAGTGCCTGCTTTTAAGCGCGAATTAACTGTTTTGGACAACGTCGGCTGACTGCTGCTAGTTGATGCTCTAGCTGCTGCAAACTGCTGTTCCTTCTCCTCCTCGACGCGCTGCATGAAAGGATCTATCTTCTCTGAACCACCCATGCCATTGTATGCAAAATTTGAGCTCATTGTAGCCGAAGAACTAGAAGTGGCTCCCAGTACCAGGCGAGGTTTCTTAAATATTGAATACTGCAGCAGAAATAGCAACAAAAGATGTGAGTAGCAACAAAATTTTCTTTGAATACATTTTGCATAGCTACCTTTTCGCTTAAATCACTGTGTGTCTTCCGTATGACGCCATGTGAGGCCATGCTTATGCCAGCTCCACTCTTAATCGGCGAGATTTTGGTCATGCTCAGCTCTGGGGGTTTGAGCAAATGTGAAATCCCAACGCTGCTGGATTTGATATTTAGATAGGGTGATGTTGACTCCTCTATGCGTTTGATGTTCTGTTTCTGTAAAGATTTTTATATATAATATATTTGTATATTGTGTACAATATGGTTATACATACAGTTGTTGGCGAGATCGTGCTGCGTCTTTCCTCTTGCTTTAGCGCAACAAGGTTGCTGTTTAGGCCTAAGGAAAGGTTCGAAGTATCCAAGTCAATTGGTTGGCTTTTAATTAACTTGAGCTGTTGATAATAAAAGAAAAATTCTGTTATATGATAAGAATAGATCAGGATTTGTAATATATCTATGAATTTAATTATGATTCGCGTCCGTCTTTCGGCCCATAGGAGATTTCACTGAATTTTGGCAACTAAATAAATTTTGCTTTCTATTTATTGCTCGCCAGACAACGATTCAGCTTAATTAATCAAGGTACACAAGTTTTAGCGAGCCTTCAAACTGTCTTAATTTAACTTAAAGATTTTACAATTTTATTCACTCTTAATTTATTTAATACTTATTACGCAAAGACCATCATCCTCTTAGCTATAAAGAGCAATGGCTATTTCACTAAAACACAGCTTGTCTCTCTCAACTCTTACCTTCTCCTGCGTACGATATAGATCGCTCTCCAGATGTGAGATTTGTTCCTCCAGCTTGCTGCAAGATGCAAGAGAATTGAATATTAGTAAATCGTATAAGGTATACAGAATATCATATAGTACAGTATATAGTTTTATATATATTATATAGTATATTGTATATCAAGTATAGTGTATACTTAATATTGCATATCGTATACATAATATCGTAATTTTTTCGATAAATAGTATACCGTATATAGCATCACTTTACCGCTTCGAGTCCAGCTCTCTGCGCAGATCGTTCTGCACCAATTTGAGCACATTTCGTAGTTCCGTCTTTTTGGTTTCGCACTGTCGCAGCTCCCGCTTCAGCGTTGACACCCAATTGGCCAAGACATGAGGATTGGCTTCGTTTTTGAGCAAACGCTCGGCATCGGCAGCGCCTGCTGTCATAATAGCCGAAACGCCTTCCATTGTGTGTATTTGTTGTTTCAGCGATTTGTTCTCCTTGCGAAGCGAATCAACGACCAATGCGTCATTTTTTAAGACTTTTATTTGCTCCACATAGCTGGTGATAAGAAATTCATTCTTTTGCAGCTTTTGCTCCAGGCCAGCTATAGTTTTGCTGCAGTTTAAAAATTCAATTTTCTATATGATTAAGTTTATTCTGAATCTACTTACAGACACTTCTTTTGCGTCTCCTTTAGCTCCTTCATTTGCTGTTCGCTTTTACTTTGTTCTTTTTCCTTCATTTTCATTGCCAAATTCGCATTGTCCAGTTGCTCCTGCAGCGAGCCGACATCGATGCGACTTACATCTAAATTGGCTAAATTGAAATAAACGCGCCATATATTTCGCGTTGTACACTTGTTGCGGCATTGTGGGCATGTCTTCGAGCTGGAAGTTCACTTTAAAATAAGTTTTTTTTTCTATTTCTTGTGAAATTTTATTGCTTACCGATCAAGCCATTGCATGAGGCAGGTGTGGTGAAACATGTGGCCGCAGGTGGTAACATACACATCATCGGCATGCGTAAATAGTTCCGCGCATATAACACAATTCAAATTCAACATGCTTTACGAAAAACATACAATATTATAAGAAAAATTAGCTGGAAAATAACAAATCTATATTGCGGCTTGTCGCAGAATTTCGCGCCGCTTTATACAAAATCAGCTGCGTTTACGCAGCCAACTTCAAGTGAGCACTAATGTGCGCGCAGCCAACTTTAAGTGAGCTGTTTTGGCGCACACCCAACTTAAAGTGAGCATTATTGTGCGTATGTATGCTCAAATTTGCGCGCAGACAACTTCAAGGGTTCTTAACTTAGCTAAAAAGGTTGCTATAAATTTTGGTTTGGATCTCAGTTGAAATCAAATTAAAGGTTTGTAACTTAGCTTAAAGTGTTGCTATAAATTTTAGTTTGTGTCATTTCGAATTTCTGCTACATTTGACTTCGTCAAAACAGCTCAACATGTTGCGTCAAACGTTAGTTCGTGTCGTAGCTAGAAATTTCGTTAAATTTGACTAACTTCGTCATAACGTAGAAATGTTATTTTAAATCAAGTTGGAATATGTCAATTTTATGGGTTTGGTTAGTGTCTCAGCTAGAATTCCTTAAATTTGGGCAACTTCAATAAAATGATGCTTGTAATGTTGCTATAAATATTGGTTTGTGTCTCAGCTAGAATATCCGTTAATTTCAAAATTAAAAGAGTCGCTTGAAAGTTCAATTTTAGTTTTTATTTGTAATTTGCAGCCAATGAAATGTACAGTAATTTTTAGCATAGCATTTGATTTAATTTGCGTCATATTCTTGTTTGCTTTGTATACCAGGCAATAATTCTTACTAAATGCGCGCCAATTTGTATTATTCAAAAATGAAAATTTTACAGTAAATAATACGAAAAAATAAATTTAGTTTAATCAGTGTTTTGTGTGACGAATTATTGCGTGACATAGAGCAAATCAAAAATGATTTCTTTTTTATATACTGCTTGAATAGGTATTTTCTTATTGAGTTTTGATATCTAGGTTTAGACATAGAGCTGTAAGTTCTTAATAATCTAGTTGAAGTTTTTTTGATTTTTGATTTTTGTTTTTGTTTTCGTTTCACATTTAAAGAGGTTTACTTCGTATTAGTTTTTATAGGGTATTAAAACGAGTTGATTTCAATTCTGATATTGTTTGCTTACTTAAAGAGAGTTTTTCTTTTTTTTAAATATTTGAAGTTTTTTTATATATTTAAATTTTTGCTAATTACGTTTTACCCATTTTTCCCGAAAGTAGTTTTTGCTTTTCAATAATACACGTGGTTTCTGCATCTCCTTCTTCTTCGTCTTTTTTGTTTTGTTGTTTTTTTTACAATCATTTTGCACCCTTAAATATATTTGTTTATATATAATATGCTTCATATTCAAAGAAATCCTCGACATTTTTTTGTGTTTTTCATTTTTTTTACCAACTTTTTGCTTAACTTTTAATAATACAACAATTTTTAATTTATTTATTTATGTTTTTGTAAGTGTAACTAGAATTTTCTTTAACAATCGATTTAAATTGCATTTAAACAATTTTACATTTACAGTTAAATTTGTAAGTTTTAATATTTAATATTTATTATTTATATTTAATAATACATTTGGGCTTTACGCTAATTGCCCTTGGAATAGTCAACAAATATTTACCACTTAGTTTCTAACTGCTTTTATACACACTTAAAGTTCGCTATATCTTAGCTATATATGTTTATATATATGCCGTATGGTTCAGTTGTAACGATTCCAAAAAATTCCATTTGCTATGCTCCCATACCCAAGCTCTACTATCTAGTAACTGATCTTACACATCTAAATAGTTTACACACATATTCAATATTTCATTTGTCGTAAGTTCTGGAAGTGGATTTCGCTAGAAATTAGTTTTACTTAGTCGCTAAAGCTTATAGCTAATTATTACATTTGTATTTTTTTGCTATTTTGATTACATAGTTCGTACAGCTTCAATATTTGATAGAAAATATCGTATGGTTCTCAAAATTATTTGAGAAAGAGTTTCTAAATAGTTTCCAAACGAGTTTTTAAAACAATTACTCAGAAACAGTGTCTAAAATTGTTCTCAAACACTATTCCCTATAAACGGATTTAAAAATCAGTTTCTAAAATAGTTTCGGAAATAATTTTTAAATGAAAATGTTTCTAAAATCCCCTTTAAAAAACTGTTTTAATTTAAGTATTAAAAAACAGTTTCAAAAACCTTTTTCCCCAAACAGTTCAAAAATATTCAAAATATTTTCAAAAACATTTTCTCACTTTTTCAAAGCAGCTTCTATAAAATTCCCAATAACATTTTCCAAATAAATTTCAAAAAACAGTTTTTAAGAATAGTGGCTGAAAACAGTTTTCCAGAACAGTTTCCAAATGTAGTGCCTAAAATGAAAAGGTTTCAAAATTTGTTTTCAAATTAGTTTCTTGAAATCAGTTTTCAAAGCAGTTTCAAAAACAATTAATAAGAGAAGTTACTCGAAAACAGGTTTCTTTTGTCTTTTTTTTGCTTTACAATCTTAACTTTTAACTTCTCTAAAGTATTTAGATATTAATATTTAAATACTTTTAGCTTTTAACAATTTTTGCTCAACTTATTTACATTTGTCTTAACTTAAAAGCATAATATATTTATAACATTTAATATTTACTTTTAATATCTTAATAATCTCAATTTCTAAATTTTACTGCTAAACTTCTATTTTTTGGTATACATGCATGTAGTGAGTGCTGGTGTTCTTCTTCTTTTCGTCTTGTTTTTCAACTTCTTTACTTCATGTTTTAAATATTTTTAACGAAGAGGCAAATCCTTTCGCTTAGCAGAAACGCCTGCAAAATAGTTTTTAATTCGAAAAATTTATTTAAACGTAAATTCGCACAATAAATTCACTTAATTAAAGTTTATTTCGGAAAAGTGGAACAAAAAAGAAAAAAAATTTTCACTGATTTTGCTGCCGCCGGCGACTGTTGAAATGGGCAAAGGCAAATATGTTTTGACACCCATTCGAAAGTGGCAATGAAGGGTATATCGGCTCTGTGACAATGTATGTAACAGCTAGAAGCAGGTGTGGCTGAGTGCATAGAACCAATACATTATTATTAGGGGGAATTAAATCGATCGATCGCTTGCCTCCTCTTAACATTCCTGTCTGAATACATTCATTTGGGTTACTATAATAGCTAGCGACTTGAGTCTTTTACACGTAGCTGCTCTGATACCGATCGATATTCATAGTCATAGGTCTTTCTATTGCATACACTGCGCAAGTGTGTTTCAAATGACCGATAACGATATTCTCTTAATTGATATTATACTCGATCTTGTCTTGTCTTGTCGCTCCTGAATGCCATAGACTCAAGCAATTTTGTACATATCTTTGCTTACACAGCTCAAATTATTGATAACTATTGCCTTCTCATTATATCGATAAGAATCGATATGAAATTGCAGCTATTTGCGCATATCTTTCTCGTTGTTAGACTTAAAGTTATCGAATTTAGTATATAGATTCTGTGTTTTCAATTTAGAAATTAGTCCTTCGGATTAGGTAACTCTGAGTCGTGCACTCCCGACTGCAGCTCACTAATTTGTTTTTTTTTCTTCTAATTTTTGTTAGCCATTTTTCTAGCCTTTTTGTATGTGGCTACTTATCATAGATAAAAGCGCACGCATTGTGTGGCCATAATTCGAATGACCCTTTGGGCGCATCGGACGTTATCCTGTCCAGAACTGATTTAAAGCGCTGCTCGCATGCAGATGACAGCGCCGATAAAGTCGACGGATAAAAGTTGTTCACAGTTTTGAAATTTGAGAAATGAGTTGAGAGATGCGAGGAAACTTTGCCTTCAAGGCTAACAAATTGTTTCAACTGCCATAGAAAGCGGGCAACAAAGCGCGATAGTGGGGGGTGTGTGTGTGTGACTTAGTGTGGGAATGTGTGTGTGAGAGAGTGTGCGTGTCTGTGTAAGCGTTGCCCATGGCCAGCGTGTGTCATGTGTTTGGTGAAATTGGGCGCCCAAAGCAAAGACACTACACGTTCACAGCCAAATTCAAAACACTTTCAAAAGCAGCAACTGCAGCAGTAGCAGCAGCAGCAGCAGCAACTGCTTAAGCCATATCAATTGCGGAATATTGCGGCACATTGCAAATTGAAACTTGTGCAAAGCGAAATTGAAAAAAATATATTAAAGAAAAATAACTGCAAGAGAGTTGGAAGGAATTGCGATTGGTTTCAATTTCTGTATATTTGCTTTCATTTTATATATATATTTTGATTATTTTCATAATGTTGAGCGTACGTACCTTCGCCTCTTCGCATGCACTATCTAGAGCTTCCCGCTGCGATAATGCACTGGTCGATGGCCGCCAAACAATATGCGTTTAAAGGCTTGACGAAACTCGGGACTGAATATTGTATAGATGACCTGTAAAAGATAGAATTGTTAGCAATTTTGTTTAGGTTTTATAAATAAAGATGTTTTTTTCAACTTTTCTGTCAAATATAATTAAAATTTAATAAAAATAAAACGGTTTAGCTTGCATAGAGACAAGTTTTGGCCATAGCTAGCTTTTAAAAAGCTAGATTGGTCATAAAACAAGCTGTCCAAAGGAACTAATTAAAATAGACTAAAAATGCCTCAAACAACAATCTTACTTAGCTATCGATAAGCATATATCGAAACAAATTCAAACACTCGCTGACTAGGTGGCAACGCTGAAAGACTCAAATTTTCATTCAAATTGTCAAAAGCGCTGCGTGGGCAAGTCAAAAATAGTTTAGTATATTGTAAAACTAAAGCCAACGAGTAAGTGAAATTGAGGCTTAAATAAAACTTGAATTGACAAACATAATCAATGCATAATTAGATAGAAATAAAACGAAAATGAGCACCAACAACAATAACATCGAGATGCCAACAACCAGCGCAGACGCGGCTGGTGGCAATGGCAATGGCAACGGCAGCGGCATAGATCGCAAACGTTTCAATGTGAAGAAATGGAGTGGCGTGGCGCTCTGGTCATGGGATATAGTCGTCGATAACTGTGCCATCTGTCGCAATCATATCATGGATCCCTGCATTCAATGCCAAGCGAATCAATCGAGCAACAGCGGCACCGAATGTACCGTCGCCTGGGGCTCCTGCAATCACGCTTTCCACTTTCATTGTATCTCCCACTGGCTAAAGACACGACCCGTCTGTCCCCTGGACAATCTCGAATGGAACTTTGAAAAATACGGACGTTAGCTCTGATATATATTTATACATTTAAATGTAAATATATATATAAGAAATTCTTTGAAAATCGAAGATATTAAGAGGGAAATTTCTTAAAGGCATATTGTATATAAAGTTGTCTTGATTGTTATTTGGGTAACTGAAACAATGGCTCGAAATATAGCTAAGCTTAAGGAGTTCTTGTATAGGTGGACTATACCGTTATGGCTTGATCAACTCAGCTATAATTTCAGTATATGAATGTAATGCAGACGAGGCTAGCAAGACGGGTGTAGGACATGTGTTCAGTAAGTTTAATAGACGATATCTAGAAGGGTTGTAGAGGAATAATACTTTCAGTTATCCTACTGTTTTTTTTAGTTTTGATAAAGCGAAAGCTAGTTCCAAGTTCACACAAACTAATTCTTAATTATTGATTATAAATATGTTTATATATATTAGATATTTGTATGATAAATATTTACCGGGTTCAGCGTCGAGTTAAAGTAGCCCAGCCAGAGGAAGAGCGAGGCGACGCTGTCGCTGATCTGGCAGGCGGCGCAGAGCGGCATCGTCAATGCCATCACGAAGAAGGGCAGCCAGCAGACAACGAAGGCGCCCGTTATAATTGCCAAGGTTTTGGCCGCTTTCCTTTCACGTTTCGCCTCCAGCGTCTCTTTGCGTTTGTTCACCTTTTGCATGGGATTCGCTATGCTGGACAATTGTTGTGCCGGCTGTTGCTGTGAATGCTGAGATGAATTTGAGTTGGGATTTGGATGCTGATGCAGCTGAAGCTGCAGCTGCTGTTGCTTGGTGCGCGGTTCTGGTGTTACCGGACCGGAGGCGTTTGCGGAGCTGCATAACGGATGCGCCTGGTTGCAGCTGGTTAACGTGCTGGTCTTTGTCGTCATCGGGCCAGCTGCTGGCGTCGTTGGTGTCTGTGGCGATAGCGCTGATATCGATGTAATTGTTGTGGCATTTGATGTGCTGGCACCACCACCACCGCCACCGCCACCACCGGATTTGCTTGTTTTTTGTAGCTGCTGCATTTGTTCAAGCTGCTGTTGCAGCTGCGGATCCTCAAGCACCTCCACGCCGCCGTTGCCATTGGCCTTGCCTGTTGGTGTTGTTGCAGTTGCTTCTACTACTAATGTTGCTGCTTCCCCAGCTTCAGCTGCTGCTAATGTTGTGGTTGCGGTTGCTTCTACCACATTAAGCTGGTGCTGCTGTTGCTCTAGCTCCTCCTCCTGCACGGGCTGTTCGGCAGTTTCAGTGGGTTTCTGTTGCTTGTGCTGCTGATTGGCCAAAGCCACTAGATGTGAGACGGTGGCTATTTGGCTACCTGATGTGCTGGGCACCTGTAAATGGTATGTGAGATAAAGCATATATCAATATTCAATTTCAGTTTAGCATTTCGAATCATGAGCAGCTGCAATTGCAATTGCATTCATAAATATATTTATACCCAATTCCTCTAAGCCATTTCCATTTCCATTTCCGCTTTTTATGCTTGGCCATTCTGTGGCTATTCATAAAAATCGCTGGGCAAATAAATACATGTATTTATTTACGTTAAGCTTCGCGTTGCGCCTTCACGCACGCACCACTTGTGTGTGTGTGTGTGTGATGGGTGTGCCACGCCCCTGCTATTAAACCACTCTATGCCGGACGGAAGCCGCACATTCGCAGGCACTTGGTCAAAAAGGGCTGCAATTTGTCGAGTTGGCCTGCTAACGGCATGTCGTAGGCACTAAAATTCATATAATCACCTGTAATTTGAGACAGCAGTGTCCATGTCCATGGGCCACATTATGTGCAGAAGCGTAAAGTGCTAAAATCAACTTTTATGTGTTATAAATTTTGTCTACGGCCACACTCGTTCACACTCTCTCTCTCTCACTCTCTCCTTGTGTAAACAAGCAAACGCAGGTGCCGCACATTTTTTGGCTAGAGATGGCGCATAAACAACTCGTGCTGCGATATCGATAAGCGCACGTCATAACTAACGAGCGCTTGCGATAGTTGTTGAGATCAGCATTGAATGAGACAGTTTTAGTGATGTGTAAAGTGGCCTTGGATAGCATATCCCTTTAGCGATGTTTGATAGCCAGTATCGATTATCAAAGTTTAGGCAATTGGCTGCTTAGTCAGTTTAGTTAAGTTTTTAATAACCTTGGCAGATTTATGCAAGTTTTCTTTTTGATAAACGTTAAGGACAAACTTTGCTTACGTAATTTGTAGTTCATAATTGTCTGAAACAATCGTTTATGGGAACCAAATGTGCAACATTTCCCAAAATTTCTTTTTAGCTAGTTTAACTTCAATATCATATATCAAAAAGCTCATAAGTCTAGCCTAAATGAGTATGTATGGAAATGCAACTATGATCAATATACCAAAATTCATCTTCATTTCTTTTTGAGATTGATATTAGCTAGAATTTTAGCATAATTCTACATATATTTAACATTTATTTTTTGCTTAATTATTCTGTAAATTTCTGGGCTCATTTTGATATCCTTTTTTAAACAAATTTCCAGTGAATTAGCTCAGCGGCATGTTGGAATGAAACGCAAGCTTAAAGGCTTAAAATTCATTTTAAATTTCACCTTTGTAGTAGAGAGAAATTTGTCTGAACCCAAAGAGCCTGTCTGCACAAGTCTCGTCTCTAATTTCTGAGCCTGTTTTTCTTGGGAGGGCATTGCTCACAATTAATGGGCCGCACGGACACGGCGCCAAAGTCGTTGCCAAATGAATTTTATGACTTTGATTCCATAATATATTGCTTGGTTGTTATAAGCGTGTAATTGATGCGCTGCCACAGCCTAGGACAAGGCACAGTAACAAGAACAAGTTAGAATGGTGCAGCTGGATGTAGCTGACTGCAGGATGCCTGTACTTGGTACAAAAGTAGTTAAATTTGTTGATTTATCGATATTTATCGAATTGGTAATCAATGAGAGAGAGAATTTATAGATTTATCTGTAGAACGGATAAACAGATTCAGCTGCAAAATGTGTTTATAAAAGAGTGAAGTCCATAGAAGAAGAGGAGTGATTCTAGTATTTTTATGCCAAATTCCAAGCCTATTGGCAGACATGGAGATACTAAGACATGCCCTGCATAAAACCAATATACCCCTATTCCTGCGATGAACGAGCATTACAAAAACAACTATGAGAAACATTCAAATTTTTCTTGGTGCCAGACCACAAAAATAAAAAATGCATTTTCAATTTGCCAAACAATGAAGCCAGAAGGATGTAGCAGAAGTAGGAGAAGGAATAGTCCTTGCGACTTGTCGCCCGGGACAGGTCAAAGTTAGGAGAAGGCGGCGCATAAAATTCAATGGCCATTGGGCAAAAATTTGTACAAAGGGAAAGTGAATAGCATATGTGTGTGTGTGTGTGTGTGTGTGTAACCTAAGCTATGGCCATTGTCAATGCCATTGTGTGTCATTCGGAGAGATTGAGGGAGAGAGGGACACAGTGTATGAGAGAGAGAGAGCGAGAGGAATACAAACAAATGTTGCAATTTCATTTGGTTTAGGACTGAGGTTGACTTGATATTTGCTACGATTTGGTTTCATTTCGTATTCTTTTCGATTTTGACCGCACGTAAAGCGAATCAATGCCAAACTGCAATTCAGAGCGAACACAACAATGCGGTCTAATGATTGCGCGTTCCATTGGCTTCTCTAATGGCCAATACACAGGACGGTAATAACTTTTCAATGCTAGCTGGCGGGATAAGGACAATGTGACAACAGTTGCACAACTGTTGAACAGCAGTTGAACAACTTTTGCATATTTCGTGCTGAAACTTGAAGATTACGCATACGCCGCATGGGCCAGCTGCAAGATTCTTTTTCTGTCCAGCAACTTTTAATTTGAAATGTTTCGCTTTTTTTTTTGGTACTTTTTCGAAGAGTTGAAAACCAGAAAACCAAAAACCCTAAACCAAAAAACAAACACAGCAACAAGCTTAGAAGTGAGCGTTAACAAAGTGTAACACACAGACACACACACACCCACTCTCACACACAGCTAATATTTTATTTATGTGACCATTGACCACCCTTAACTTCTCTGCTCTACTAACTTATTTGCTTCTCTCTCAGTTTCTCTCCCTGCTCTAGACGGCCTGCATTTAAGTGAAATGTATATTTGTTTCAATTTATTTGCAGGCGCCACTTGCGCCCTGCATTGACTTATTGTTTTTGTTTCCAATTTGCTTTTGGCTTGTACGTTCGGCTAGTGTATTTTAATGGCAGTACTGAGAGCTGATTAGCTACATCTAGCGTTTTGTTAGGGTGTGAAGAAACTAACTGCAACATTTTTCAGAAGAATAGAAAACTTTGCCAAGAATATTACAATCAAAGAACAGATTTTTATAGAATTATAAATCTTTTGAAATCATTGAATAAAATATTAAATATATTACACCAAGAAGATAAAGCTGAAATCTATTGAAGGTACTTAAACATGAAGAGACTTAGAAAGACTAAAAGTTTTGAAAGAAATGAGAGTTGAAATATATTAGAGAGGGGAAAAGTAACTTGTTAGACATATAGAAAGTTTATTAAAGCTTCAAAAAATAAGGCTTTAAGAAGTTCAAGAAGCTGAAGACAGCTTAAAGTTTTCAAAGGCTTTAATAATATGCTAGCACAAAGTTGAAAAGTTTATAAAAGTGAATGAAATTTTTAAGTCACAACAAATGTTTTTTTCTTATAGAAAATCGAATTAATATCTGAAGTTTCTTTGCACTTTATTTATATTCGAATTCCCATTTCTATTTGCTGTCAAATGGAAAAGCTCTTGTGGATTTTCTCGCCAGCTTTCAGTGTACAAATTGCATTTCAATTGCAACAATTTTGCAAGAAATTCTTCAACTTTATGATTTGTGCATAATTAAATTGTATTCCCATTTGGATTTCAACTCTATTTGCTTTTGTGCAATTGCCAACGCGGGATTTGAAGTATAAGCAAAGCTTCGGTGCAGCGCAAATAGCCTTTTTCCCACTGTTTTTGGCTTCTTTTTTTTGTATCCTCCATTTTTTTTTTTGCTATTTTGTTTATTTTAGCTCATGCGTTTGCCTCTTGGCTCGTATAATAAACGAAACTACTATGATAAATGTATATATATTTGCTTGCGGCTATGCGTGGAGTGTGTTGTGAGTATGTGTGTATGTGTGTATGTGCGTGTGTGTGTCATGTGTGTGTGTTTATTTATTTGGCTGTCCACTTATTTGGCGCACACACAGAAACCTGGCCCAAGTAAATATTTAATCTGAATGCATGTGTGTGCGTGTGTTTGCTGGTCAGCAAAGGCAAATAGCCATGCGAGCCAGTTGCTGATACGCTTAGTTATTATGGTCAAACGAAAGCTGTTAGCCATAAGCTATCAACATATTTTCTTCAATTACTTCAAGCGTATTGAGTGCCCACGTTTTCAGTTTCCTGTTGCTGCTTTGTTTTCATTTGACTGAAACTGAGCTGAGATGCTTTTGCATGGCAACGACACCCATTTCGTATCCTTGTCACAGACTTTCTCTCGCTCCCTATATATATGTTTGACTTAGCTATTACTTAACCTGCACAGCGACCTTTTGGCCACTCGCAGCCAATTTATTTTGACTCCAATTCGACTCGACTTGACTCGACTCTTGCTTATTTTTTTATGTTTCGATTTTCGTTGCCTTTGCTTTAATGCCTTATTATTGAATGCGTGTGTGTGTGGCTATAAAAAGGCTAGCTGAAATTGAAGTACATAAAATGCCAGCTAAATACAAATTTTCGTTTTGTCAATAAACAAAAAAGCTTTGCCTGCATTTTATCGCTCGCATTTTGTATAATTTGCGGGCTTAAGCCTCATATCTATGTGTAGCTGCAGCATATAAAAATGAACGACTTCAAAAATAATAAGAGTTCATCTTTTTAATTTTTTTGAGCCGCGCTCACACGTGTCGTCGTATACGTAATCCGCATGTATATAAAAAGCAAATCGATTTATGCGTGCATAAATCAAATGTCAGCCGAACTTGATGTTTAGCTAACGACATGTGCAAGTTTCTATTTGGATTTAACAGGGATTACGCGCACAGGACACGCAACGAAAGACTGGACAAGGATTTGATGCCTCTTGTTAGCATAAGCAAATCGGGTAGATTAGTTAGTAGTTGTGTGAAGTGCGAGAAATAATTTAGTACATGACTTGGACTTGACTCAATCAGAGTTAGCTCAACAGTTTTGATCTAGATGAAAGGACTGACTTTAATGTGCAGATAGACTTATAGAAAAAATGAAAATTAATTTAAATTTAAAATTTAAAATTTAAAATTTTAATTAAATTTATTTTTGTTATAATATATATTCTGGTCGATCTGCAGTTTTAAGCCTGCCCTCATGTATGTGTATTATATATTTTGATTCCTGTTTTGTCTACTTCAATCTCGAGTAGTACCAAAGCTAGCGGCCTAAAATTTGATATAATTATTCTTGCATTTCCCCTGAACTGGGCATTGAAAAGTTTTTTGGAAAAGCTCAATTAATTTCCCAAAATTGGATTCACTTAGTTTTTTTGGGCATAACTCGAAGATTATAAGAGTCATTGACATTAAATTTAATATGTAAGCTCTCATAAAAACTACACAAATAAGAAATATTTTCTTTTTGGATCGACCAAACCAATATTCCATGAAATAAACTCTATTCTCTGTTTTATCACCGAGTTACAGTTAGAGTAGCTGCAGAAAAATGCTGGAATATTTGAAACAGCAACAGGTCATCTAAGAGTCGTGCACAGCCCACTAAATCACTCTTACGTGTTTCCATTTTTTTTGGGCACTCAGGAAGCAAACTCAGATCGTTGGGCACATGTCAGGCGTTATGAAATTTGCTTTGAGCAGAGCGCTGGCCTACCCGAAAAAACAGGAGAGCAGAAACCAATTGGAAAATCCAAATCCCCTGCTGTGTGTGTGGGCACACTTACCTCAATGCCGGCACGACTCTTGCTATCCACATTCGAGCTACTGAACTCAGTGTCCTCTACGGTGTTCACTGTATTTGTCGAGTTGCCCTCGAGCAGGCCCAATGCTGTGCCGCCAGCAGCTCCTGCTCCGGCAGCTGTGCCAGCTGCTGTGCCGCTCTTATTCTTGGCCGTTGAAAATTTGCCAAGACGTAAGCGCAGACGATTTAATTTTGTGTCCGAAGATGCGCCAGCCGCGGGCTAGAAGAGAGAGGTGTAAGAGAAAGGCTTAGATGAGATGAAGCTGCATTGAATGTTTGAAGTGTTAGAAAAATGAAATTTTATAGCTTTGTTTTTTTTTTCTTGGCATTAATTTGTACAAGAATAGCTGGAAATTTGCATTTACTCAGGGCTGCGACTGCCACTTGAGGCAGTTTCATCTTTTGCTGCTATTGTTGTTGCGCCTTACGCTTCAATAAACCGCAATTTGTACGCATATCCAAGCTGGAGAGGCCTCCCGGAGCTGATGCCGTGCGTTTGGCTTTTACCATATGCATATGTAAGTGGATACGTTCGTAAATAAATTGTGTATATTTGTTACAGTCACGCCATATACATATATATATATATATATACTACAGTGCCTGCTCAAAATAAATTTCACGCTTGACTGCTTCGAGCGCTTGACCTCTTTGATTTTCTCTCTTCTCTTTTTTCACTCCTTTTTTTTCTGCCTTCTTATAGTTGCATCCTTTTTTGCTGTTGTTGTTGCTGTTGTCGTCGCCTTCAATCCCCACCAAATTAAAGTAATTGAGTAGTCAAAACCTTTTGCCTCATCGTCATCGTGCTGACCCTTTGGCCAAGACTCGATATTGCTTTAAATAAATAAAATTATGCTGATTTTGCGTTCGTGTGCGGAAATTTGACAAAAACTAAAAAAAAAATTGAAGTGAAGAAGAGAAATGGACGAAAAAAGTCGTTGGGCCTGGCAAAGTGTTTTGTGTGCGTGTGTGTGCCTGGTCATGCCCTCAGCTCAGTCGCATTTCCCCAAATGGCGTGAATATTTGCGCAAATAGTATTAAATGGATTTGCAGCTAGGACGACGCATGCGACCTTCATTTTGTGGCCAGAACAAGAAGTGTAATTGCTTTGTCGCATGCCAACACCTAAAGTGGCCCTTATTGAGAAGTAGCCAGAGCTCGAGCGGCCTCAACTCCCATAATGGTAGATGGTGAAGGGTCAGCTTATTAAATATTTAAAGCCCGTTGCTTAATTAGAGCAGCGTTTGCAGGTGCAACTTAATCCAACTGGGTGCTGACAGCTATTAGATGGAACTCCTGCTCAGCCTTTCAGTTTTTGAGCCATTTGTCTCTAGCTGGCTAGAACTAGAGCGTAACATGAGAGCGCACGTGTTTCGACTTGAGCTTGAAGTGGGCGAAACGGAAAGTTTGTAAGGCTTGATTTAACTTTGATGTGATTTGATACAAGTTTTAAACAATTTTATAGAATTTAAGACGATTGGACACGACGTGACACGAGCTGATGTGGTTTTTTATAGGGCAATACAGTGCTTAACTTGGCTAAGTATGGATATGACTTCAGTTGAGATGAAACTTAAAACGACACGACACGACTTGATGCGATTTAACACGAGCTGATATGGCTGCGATACGGTCATATACGACATAGCCATGTTTGATATATATCAGACTCGATCTAACACGACTTTTTAACGATAAGACACGACTTGGCACGACTTGACTCGAGCTGCAGTGGCTTTCATAATGCAATACACGATTTCAGTTTTTGATATGGGTTTGACACGACTTAAAACGACTTTAGATGCGACTTAGTAAGACGTGACACGACTTTATGCGATTCGACACGAGCTGTTATGGCATCGATCTAAGACGACTTTTGTCACGACTAGACACGAACTGAAATGCCATTGTTAGCGCAATACACTACTCAGCCTGGTTTGATCTGTCTTCGACGCGACAATACAACTTTGGCATAGTTTAATGAAACTTGACACGAATAGACACGGTTTGATCTATGCTTGTTGCAACTATACACGACTTAAGTTGGTTCGATATCAGTTGATTTGAAACGACTTATTTACTGTGTGATGATTTGGTACTTTCATGATGTGACACGACTTGATGCGAGCTTAACACGAGCTAGACACGAGCTAACACCATTTGACAGCAATTGAATTTGGTATAAGTTTGATTGATTTGAATTGAATTTACACGAGTTAACACAAACTAAGAATATGAATTTTAGTAAACCAATATTAAGTTAATCTATAATAAAGAGGAAAGCTTAACAGTAAAAACAGGAGCTAATAAAACTAAAGTGAAATGAAAATAGAACACGAAATTAAAAGTACAAATAATATATTAAGAATTGTTTATATCAGCTAAGACTAGATTATCTATATACTGTATAAAGTCATAAAACTATTCATAATCAAAAGTAGAATCAATTTCTAATAAGCTTTAAATCTCTAGCTGCTATAAACTACGACTAATCTTATGCAGCAATGTGTGAGTCGAAAACTTTAAGGCATCAATCCATGTTAACTTTGCACATACTACCATTGCGATAGACTCACATATACACGTAGATATACATATATGCATATACGTATGTCTATAGTATGTCTGTAATAATCGCATTTCGTAGGCAAGACGCTAATTGAATTTGCTTTGCGTTTCGCATGCTTGGGATTGCGTATACGCAGCATTGGCTTCGTTTGTGGATTTGCTGCCATGCGGGTAATCAATGCGTAATTGAATCGCTGATAACTTCAAAGACACACACACACACTCGCGCACATACCATAAAATTGGCGTGCTAAACAATTGGCAAAATGGAAGAAAAAAGCGAAAAGTTTGCGCGTGTTGCTCGCACGCTTAGCCATAAAATAGCATGGATTCCCCTTTGGCGTTTGCTTAGATCGAAAACTAAACAACATGGCACATTAACGTTATTTAAATACTAAAGTAAACGCACACACGCACACCCACTCATAGATAAGACAAACTGTAGCTGCTATCCCCAGTGTAGTAAAGTGTAGCACACTTTTCAGCAGCAGCAGCAACGACGATAAGTAAAACCCAGCTCAATGTGTATTTTATGTAGATGTGCCTGTCAGCTGTCGCTATCTATAGACACTCGTATATATATATGTGTGCGTGTGTGTGCACATTTATTTAAGCGTTTGCATAAACGATACTTGGCCGAAGCCATTTTGCCACTTTGGCTAATTTATGTAAATTGTTTTCTTATTTAATTGTTTTTCTTGCGAGACATGTGTTGAGCTTCCACATATCATTGTGTGTCCATGCGTGTGTGTGTGTGTCATAGTCTCTAATGTGTGTGTGTGTGTGCGTGTGTGTATCCAATAATTTCTTTACATGCGATTTATGCTGCACAGTCAGAGTGTGGCCAAAAAATTGTCGCTCAAGTGCCAAGACACAAAGTTGCTGTCAAACAACACTGTGCTACAATAAAATATTTTTATTTAACTTTAAATATATTTTTAATATTTTTTAAATTAATGAAAATTATAATTTGAATATTGTGCGTTGTACATAAAAATTACCTTTGGTAAAAATGAAGTAAAATTGGTTGAAGTCTTGAGTTGTTTAGCATAAAAATGCATTTTTGTATGCCTTGTAGCACAGTGTTAATTAGGCACATTTTTGTTTTATATAATAATTAAAATTATTTTGTCAAGGAAACGCGAATTTTCATGCCACTTTCAGTCGCTGTAAATGAAAATTTAATTCTGTTTTTTATATTGCATGACATGTAGCACAGTGTTACTATGACAGCATTGAGTAAGGAAAAAGGTGTCAACTCAAATATGACTCCATTTGAATATAATACATTTGTATGCCTTGTAGCACAGTGTTAATGTGTTTTCTTTGGTTTTACATATGAATTTCAATTACTTTGTGTGTTGAAGTAACTTTTTGTTGAGTTTTCTATCAATTTATAACTGCTCATTTTGAATATGGAATTCGAGTCGAACTGTATATCATGTAGCACAGTGTTAATGTGCTCGCTGTTGCTTAATGAGCTTCATTGCGAAGCGAAGTAGATATAAAGTTAATTTACTTTCAATTTAAAGTTTCTGAAATTGACACTGAATTTCATGTTGTGTAGCACAGTGTTAATATGAAAGTGTATTAAATATTAATGTAAATTAAATATTAATGTCAAGTGAACTAAATTTATATATAAATCTGACTTTAATATGGAATTTCAAATTTATCTGTATGCCATGTAGCGCAGTGTTAATGTGCCAGCTTTTGTATAGATGTGTATATATAAAAAGAGAGAAGAAAAACACAAGTTGCAAACGTGTGCGGCATATGGACAATTTTGGCCAAAATCTGCTCGGGTTCTTGTCGCTGCTGCCTGCCTGTTTGTCATATGGTTCTGGTCATAATGTCAATATCTCGAGCAATCAATTTGAGCTGCTGTCAGTTGCCGTTGTTGTTGCTTTTGTTTGCAAATGTAATTGTGATTATGTTCGAGTGGTCAAGGCGGGCACTCAAGGAGAGAGGGAGAGACTCTCACTTTATCAGTGTTGTTGAGTGCAAAACATCTGGGCGTTCTTGTCAGCATCACTTGGCCATGAAGAGGGACACTCCAAAGACCGATTGCTTTTTGTGTTTAATGTTACATTATTATTAATGTTTGCCCTTATTGTTGCTGCTGCTGTTGCCGTGTTGTACTCTGGTGAGTCGTGTGTGGCATTAGTCGCATAGCCAAATTACACATAATACCTGCTCGCTCAATTTGCTTAATTGCCTTTCACTATCGTATATTATGTTAATTACAAAATCAATGCAGCCGCCTATACGATGGCATAAATAACATCAATTTTCTGTTAGAAATCTAAGTTTATATGCTGCTTAACATGTGTGTTGTCTGTTAACTAAATTTAACATTTTTATATGAGAACTCTCGTTAGCTACTGTTGACTTAGCAATCAATATGTTGTAGTTGTAAATAGCTCTGCCTAATAGCTATTGACAGTTAACAGCTTATTTGCGATATTTAGTTCCTTTCTCTAAATCTCTTCCGCTATATTAATCAAGTGCTCCTTCCAACTGCTGTTAACTTAACAGCCTAAACCTATGCTAAATCAAGATTTTTCTGTTATATGCCTACTTTTGAGTTTAGGAGTCTTAGTCTTAGGACTTAACTTGCAGGTATATAAACTCTCAACAGATGCAGAATATATTAATACATAGACTACTTTACTTAACCTCAATCAAACAATGTTTGCCGCATAAAGTTGCAATTCATGCCATAGTACAAAGCTTAGCTGGAATTGCATATTAAATATACATATATAAAACTGTATTTATGTATATTTGTATGTATATCTTTATGTATATATCTGCGGCTCTGATCTATGTAAACTGCATTTCAATTAAAATAACACACATTAAAAATTAAATATTATGTGCTAAGCTGCGTGTCGATGTTCAACATTAGTTGAATTTTATTAGTTGTTGATGCAATTTAAATCATTCGCAGAACAAATTTCCGTTAGCCAGTTAGCCAAATGCCACTTGGCGCTTCGAATTGGCCATAAATATGCTAAATGCAAATGCAATTAACTCAAATTTATGTGCTGCCAGCGGAACAGAAATAACAACATTTTCTATACGCGCTCATGGACGGCATGAAGAAGAGTATATTGGCTTTGCACAATTACAGACTGATGCTATTGCAGCTAGAGACTTGAAATTTGTTTTTCTATGCTTTCTTTCTGATGTACATTTAGTTGGATTCGGCGCACGAACGTGTATTGTGCAGTCGCTTAAACTCGACTGCAAAGTTTTTGCTTTTTTGTAGCGAAATATCCAAAAAACTTTGCTACAACAAATCTTTATTAAATACAAAAAAAGGAGAGATGAAGAAGATGGAAAAATTGTAACAAAAAGCGCGCAGCGGGCGAGCTGCGAAAGTTGTTGTTGTTGTTGTAGTTGCTGTTGTTGTATGTTAGTATAAACCCTCGTCAAGTTGCAGGAAAGCAATTTTCAATTTGAAAGCATTTAGTTGAATAAAAAAGGAATAACAAGAGAATAATTCGAATGCCAATGGCTAGGCGTTAGCTAAATGCTCTGCTTAGCTCAAATGGAAAGCTCATGGAAAACAGAGTTTAAGAATTCATAGAACTTACACCGATTTATTGATTAAGTTTTTACTCACATTTATTAATTAAAAAATCTGTTTTAAAATGGCTATAGAAAAGTTCAGGTAAAAGCTGTGAGCAAAATTTTAAGACTATTAACTTTTTTAGACAGTTTATAAGATGTTTAGCTACATTTATTTTTTAATTTTAATTGTTATATTCTCTGGTGTAAAAGCTTAAAAGCTCATAAAAGATAAAGGCAGAATCAGAAGGTTCATGACTTGAAGATTTCTTAAAATGATTTAAGCAATCTTTTAATCTTTTTAATCTCTATCAATCAATCTTTTTAAAGCTCTATAATAAGTTGCACTTCATATGAAAGCACATTAAAGACCTTGCTTATCTCACACTAAGCTTTTGTGCCCAAAGCCTTGAAGTTGTAACGATCCTTTAATCCTTTTAAAGTATTGCAAAATTAGCTACGTTCAACTAAGGCTTACAAATTGCTTCACTTAGCCAATAAGCCGCATGGCAAGGGCAACAAAATGCTTGCGCTGAGTGGGGTAAATATATTTTAAAATCAACAAGCAGCCCAGGCCAGGCCAGGCCAGTGAGTGGCACTAAATGGATGCGTGTAGCTGACTGTACGTGTATCTCGCTGTGTGTGTGTGTGTTAGTATGCTGGTATTGGTATTGGCATGCGCCTGCTGACATGTAACTAACACAGTCACACACACACACGCCGGACATCGCTGGGACATGTGTACGTTGGCAAATAGTGGACAACTTGTCTTGTTTGCGCATTGAATTTGTGATTCCAATGACTTTTTGTCAGCTTCGCACTGCCCTATGCGATTCTCTTAGGTGCCTGAGTGGGTGTGTGTGTGTGTGTGTATGTGTGTGTGCGTACGTTCGTAAGTGGTTGCAAACATTTCCACGTCAAATGGTCATTTTCAATTTAGTCAAAGCATTAAGCTTAAGCTAAGTAGCTGCGGTCCAGCATCTGCTAGTTATAGACAAAACAAAACAAAAAAGAAAAAGTAGAAATAGAAGAAAGAACTGATACAGAAATATCTTATAGAGAGACCTTTCAATGATGTAAGCTGTACGAAGTGCAAATGCTCTAGTTGGAGACTGACAGCTTCAGGGTGAGCGCCCTGATTCAGATTTGTAAGTTAACAGAGTTGCAGAAGAGAGGCAGAGCTTAAAGAAAAGCCTTAACAGAAGTGAGTTGCAATCAGATGTTAACAGCTAACAGCTTAACAGAAGCGAGGCTGCAGACTGTGAATGTTAAGCTAACAGAGCAAGAGAGTGAGAGCAGAAGATAGCAGCTGTTCTGCTTAACATAGACGAAATGTTAGAGCTATGCCTGAACTTAACATCTGCGAACTGTAGCTTTGGTAAGGCCTTTAAGGCTTACAATAATTATATAATTATAATTATAATTATATGCTGACAAGGCTTGATGCTTATTCAAATGTTGAGTAAATGTTCATGAAGATAGAGTATTATTATCAAGCGTTCCTACTTGCTAAGGTATAAAAAAATGGTATTTCAATTTAGTATACATATACATGCATACATACAGACATATAAACATATATGCATACATACACGCATACATGCATACACTCATATATACACCTACTTATGTACACTCAGCAACAGCCGATTTGCCTTAGGTTTTTCACGCTGCCCTTTTTGCAGCTGGCAGCGCACTTGCTCCAACGAATTTCTAAATGCATTTTTAAACACTTGAATGAAGTTCAGTTGCCTAATTACATTTGGGCGCCCGAAGGTTGTGGCCAAATATCGTGAGCATCTTGCATATATGTTAAGGGCATATTTCGCATCAGTTCAAGCCGAAGTCTTTGTGTGGGGGCGCCCCCACAGCCTAATAGCTTTTCCACCTCTTGTCCTTTCTATCTGCTGCTTTCTATCTACGCCCTTCTACAACCTTCTGTGCCCGCTCGGCGCTGACCTTTGACTTGGTCTCTTGTCTCGAGTCGATTTTGTGGCTGCCTTCGCGGTTAACTTCATTAGAGTGCATAATTGCAGGGCTTTGGTTGCATGGCAAATTGTGCTGCGGCTTTAGGTTTAACCGTCTGCCACACACAGGGTGTTTCACTTAGCTGCTGGCATAGCCAGCCTTGAGTTGGTTGAGCGACGCAACACGCTGTATACAATTGATTGCTATTTAGTTTTGGTTATTCAAGAAATTTACAGGTCGAAAAGCTGAAATATTTTTCTTTTGTAATTTCAGCTTATTTGCAAAGCTGCATTTAGAAACTTGTTAAAAATTTAGAGGTCAGTAATGGATAGCTTTTCAATTTTGTATCATCTTATGGCCAGCTTAACAGTTTGATGGCGAAAATATGGTCGAGGACGTGGGCGTGGTCTGGCTGGCTGTTGCAGTTTAGCAAAAGTTAAGAATTTAGCTCTAAATTGGTTATTGATTCTTAAGGTAATGCTTTGAAAGTGGAATTTTTGGCAAAATAATATTTTAACTTGCTTTTCTGTTTGAGCATAAGAGCTGAGCTCTGAAGTTGGCATTTTTCAGTTTAAATTCACATAAATCTATATTCCCTTATCAAATCTCTCTAACATAGCCACATTTCCAGTGCTTTCTGCAACTTAATATATCTTAACGGGTGTAGCCAACTTAAACCAAATTTTTTGGATTATTTTTTCCGTTTATGCTTGAATATTTGCAACAATAAACTTGCCACCTGGCTTGGGGTATCTCCTAGTCGTGCAGGCTAGTTCCTATGAGAGCATCTATACAAGGTGATTAGGGAATTGAAAGTTTCTTTTCAAGAAAAAATAAAATGAAAATTTAAGCCAAATGGCAAAGTTGTGATACACAGATTAAGCAACAGCTTGAAACTGAATCTTGAATAGAATCAACAGCCGAGTTGATTTAGTCAACTTAATCAGCACAGCTAACTGTACTTTGATCTCACTTATGTTAAGCTCAGCATTAGTATTCACCTGATTATTGTTGGCCGTCATGTCAACAGGGCGCGGTCGGCGACGATGGATGCGCTTTCTAGCTGTCTGATAGATTTTCCAGTATAGCGCCAAAATAACCAGCAGTGGCACATAGAAGGTGCAACAAGTGGCAAATACCTATTGGAAAAAAGAAAGTGGAATAAGTAGATAAGAGGTATATCAGTTATATTACCTGGTAGGCCACATCCTGCGAGACCATGCACTTTTGCTGCTCGATGCGTTGCAAATAATCTGGATCCTTCCAGCCGAATTGTGGCGCTAGCGAGACAATAACAGATGCGGTCCAAACGCAAAATATCATCATGAAGACGCGGTTGCTGGTGCGTGAATGGATGTAATCAATGTTGGTCACAGCCCAATAACTACAACAGGAAAAAGAAGAAAAAAACGTAGAATATAGAAAATGGCAAATAGAAAATAGAGCAACAACAATAAGAAAACTTTTTATTTTTATTAACAATTGTGCAACACTTGAGACGCGGTTTTTTGTTATTTACTTTCTCTGAAACGCGCACAAAATGCAAATGAAATGCTGCATAAATCTAGGCAAGCACTCACACACATACACACACACACACACACACACACATATGGCACAGCGTCAAAGTAAAGAAACGTGTTCGATATTCGAATTCCGTTCAACAGTTTTTTTCTATTTTTTTTATTTAGAACATTTTGTTACCATCTTTTTTTTTGTTGCTTTACTGTTTGTATTTGTTTTGCCTCTCGGACGTTTTTTTCCTTTTTTGTTGGGTTTTGTGTGCCAAAAACATGTTTTATGTATGCAAACCGGTGAGTGTGCGTGTGTATGTGTGTGGCAGCCAAGCGAGGCATTTTTGAAATTTCCATTTCTAAAGATTGAGCCGCCCGAGTCAGTCCACACAACTTTGTAATGTTGTTTGCCAGTGAGTCGAAAAAAAAAATGGAAAATTTCCCATTCGCTCTTGAGTTCAATTCGTTTGAGTTTTCGAAAAGAATTAACTTAATTATAATTGGATTGAAGTGAAGGAATTTCCATACTAGATATTTTCAATTGAATGTTTTTCAATGGAGAACAGAAATTTATCCTAATGGGATTAAAACTAAATTTTACTTCTATTCAATTTTCTCTTCCCAAAATGCTTTTTCGATTTGAACTTTAATCAATGTGAATTGTGAATAGGAAAATAATTGTTATTTTGGTAAGCAAAAAATAGAAAAGAAGTGCTCGAATTCAAGGGAAATTAGAGAAATACATAGCTTTTTCGAGCTTCCCTTGACTTAATTTGGACCTTCAATTCAATTATCTAAAATATTAAATTATAAATATACTGACCTATTAATGGATTCTACTGATTTTTATTAGATACGACACGTGGGTATTAATCTATTTTTCATAGCTATATTACTCAAATTTCGAAATTGTCTTATTAAATTTCCCAAGCGTAAATCAATTCTTAATTTTTACGTTTAAGAAATAGAACAGTTTAAAACAAAACTTAAAGTTCTAGCTAGAGTATCAACAAAGTTTTCTATACCCAAAGCTAAACTATCTTTTTTAGTTACCCACTTGTTCAGACTGTGAGTAGAGCAACATGCCTAAACGAGTTTTTAAATGCTACGTGTATGGTAACTGGCACATACACACACACACAGTGACACACACATACATATACTGGGTGTTATGAAGCAGGCTTTAAACGTATTGGTACTTCAACGCTTGTTGCTTGGGGCCAAAGGCTTTAAGAATGCCAACTATTCAACTGTGTGGCATAGATAATCACGTCCTAAGGCAGGCAGGCAGCAGCTAGAGCAACAACTCTGTGTTGTTGTTGATGCTGTTGCTGCTGCTGCTGCTGCTGAGGTGGCAGCCATTAAGCGGCTTTTTAGTTTTGAAGTTTTGTCAGTGTTCAAAAGGTTGTTAACCACAGCAAACCAGTGGTTATGCGTGTGTGTGTGTGAGTGAATGAATGTCAAATTAATGCCGGCAAACCGCACATTTCAAAATTTGACTGCAGAACGACGTACAATATCTTTAACTACAATACTGACCGCAGCGCTTAAAGTGGCAACACGAACATCGACAACAACAACAGAAATTTGTTTATGTATTAATTAAACACAATTTGCATAAACAAATATTATGCCAGGCTATGCTAGAGCGCAAACAAACGTGTTTGTAAGTTTAAATCAACAATTAATTAAGTTGACAAAGCACTCGAGACGAGCAGCTGATAGCTACTTCATATATGTCTATATATATCTATATATAGCCGTATTAAATGTTCTGTAAACTTTGCTAAGTGCCCCTGGGCGTCGTATATATACATACATATGTGCATATGTATGTCTGTCTGCGCATCTGTATGTGGAGCATCATTTAATTTGCGCCCACTTACACGCTAATGACAGCTGCATAAATATAAATATAATTATCGATATGTTGTGCATTTGTTTAAAACTTAATTAAATGGCACTCAATTAAGAGCTAACCGTGCATCTGGGTCTTTAGCTGTTAGGTAAGAGAACGCTGAACGACTATGCAATACTCTGTGGTAGACAAAATAACAGTTGATGTGTGAGGAATGCCTCTAATCTTTTATAAAATTATTTCAACTGTTAGCTTTAGACAGGTTTTTGCATACACTGTAGTGTGTATGTGTAGTGTAGAAAAATATTTAAGGAATTTTATAAACATATATAGTAGGGAATACCTTTAATCCTAAACAGAAAAATTTTATTCGCAGATTTAGTGCAACGGAATCATATAATAGACATAAGAAGAATTCAGGAATTGTGTACAAATATAAGTTTTAGGGAATACCTCTAATGTAAGAGATAACTAAATTTATAACTATTTATATCAAGTGCAAGCGAGTGAATACCCCATAAAAATCAATTTTAATTGAAACTTAAGCGGAAAATCAATTAAATATTTATTCAGTTTAATTTAGTGAATACTTCAAATAAATACTGAAATAAGGATAGGTACTAATCGACTTAAATTTGGATTTAGGGAATTAAAGGAATACCTCTCTTGTAGTATATATTATTTGTTATAAATTAATTGTTATTAAATTGTCAAAAAGTAGCTTAAAAATGGGCTCAACTGGAAAATGTATATGAATTATTAGCATAATTTAGAAAATGAATGGAATTTCGATGTATATCGATAAGTTCATATAAATAGCCGAAAATCTTATTGAGTCTTATAATTATTCCCATTTGATGTATCGAAGATTAAAAGCAGTTGATTAGATAAACAGTTCATGTTAGATAGATAGAGAAGGAGATGATTTTAAAGAAGGAGCATGAAAGGCGAGTTAGCGAAGCAGAGGCGGAGTGCCAAAAACTTTCTGAGAAAGAATTTAAATTAAGCTGCTCTACTCCCCTCGTAGCTCGTAATTTCCATTAAACTTTGCTCTACAAAAAACCCTTTCATTATTTTTTATCCATTTATAAACAGATTTTCTTCAGCTATTCCCAAATGGTTTTTGGCCTCAAAGAGTTCAGGCCCCAGAGCAAATGTCAAATGGCAAACACGTGTTAGCAGCTGCAGTCGGTTTGTCAGCTTGTTTATGAGAAATGATTGTGGAAGCGTTTATATATTTAGCTATAGATAAATATATATATATATATATATTTGTAAGTTGATATTAAACATACGCCTCATATGCCTGCCTCATCGATAATAAATAATAATGAATGATGTTGATAGTTGATGACTTTTGTCTGGACAGCTGCCACCTGCTGTCTGGGTCAGCTACGAGTGACTGCCTGGAGACAGAGGGGGAGAGAAAGAGAGTGAGGCTCGGCTGCCACGCCCCTTTGATGCCTCCCGCACTGTCTGCTCTCACATTTTTCATTAGCATAATATAATCGACTTCAAGTTGGCAATTTTGATTGACTGCTTAAAATTAATGGAATTTTGTGATTTTCCTGTCAATTTTCTTTATTTTTTCTTCGCTTCTTTTTCTTTTTGGCAATTTTAATACAATTTTCGTTGGGAGGGGGAGGTAAAGGCGCCGTAGCTGATGCGTCTCGCATGCAAATTAATAGCGCTAGCTAATAAAGTGCCTGTCATGCAATGCGATATTACTCATACGACTCGTTGTCGACTCTAAGCGATATTACTCATACGTCGCGCTGTCGCATATGCTGTTTCTTTTTCGTCTATTTTTTTGTGTGTACATCATAAATTTGTTAGGGCCGCTATTCAATTCAATTGAATTGAAGTCAATCAATTTATCAAGTACAGCCAGCTAGGCAGAAATTCATCTGATGAATTATAACAATTTATTGTACGCCAAACAATTTAAATGCGATTTTTCCATTATGTTAGCGCGCGTGTGGGTGTGTGTGTGATAAATGTGCGGCACTCGAGTGTAACACTTTTTTAATGCATTTAAAAAATGCGCGCCTAGCACACAAAAAAGCCATTACTCTTGCTACTCCCACTGGATGGCAAACGCATGTTTTTTTTAGCTCTTTTTTTTAGCTTCTCCAGCTAAAATTTCGCCTAATTTGCCAAGCCAAGCACAGGCTTAGTCTCGCCCTCTATTTATATCTATATATTGGGATTTGTATACACATTTTCAATTATGATTTGTCACACGCTGTTCATAAATTCTCATGACTCGGCGAAATGGCGCGAAAATTGTTATTGAAGATAAAGCAACAAAAATGGGTCTGAGTAAAAATAAAAAAATCAAATTAATTTAGCTCAACTTTTAAGCTGTTCATAATTAATTGAATTTTTATAATGTCGAGTGTTGGTCAATATTTGTTTTATCGACTTGTTGTCGTTGTTGCTGTTATTGTTAATGCGCTGACAGCGGTTGACTGCATATTTAATGCCTGTCAACTGGTATGCGTTTATTGTTTTTTTTTTTTTATTTTTATAGTCGAATAATCTTTAGCTGATGCACTTTAGCTAATGGCAGCATGCGCTTGGGTTTGGGCATTTTTAAGGCTGTTTGTTGAGCTTAGTAGAAAGAGTTGTGACATTTTGAAGTCATATAATATAATATAATATAATATAATATAATATAATATAATATAATATAATATAATATAATATAATATAATAGTAATAATAATAATAATAATATTAATAGTATATGAGCAATAGTTCGTTTTAGTTATTTTTTGAGAGCTTTATTCATATATATAAATTAAAGTATAAAATATATTTCGTCTTTTTTCGATTTCTCATGCGCCTAAAGAGCATTTAGTCTTCAGCACTATTCATATGTGTATATGTATCGATATATATACATATATATGTATATATATATCCTATATTTTTAGTCTTTGTATTTGAGGCTAATCGATCACATTACGCTCGTATGGTAAAACGTTCGTCTATTGTTTTAATTTTTCA